TTGGAAAACTCTGCTATACTTGTTATCCTTGTTAGAAAATATGCTGTTTTTGAGTTAATTATGCGCATAATTAATGACATAATAATAAAAAAAAAACTTTTTGTATTTTTTTGTCTAATTTAATTTCAATGCAATTAAAATGTTAAAATACGGAGGGATTAAAGGGTGCCTTTAAAGATTTTTTTTATTTAGTGGGTAGCCACCTTAACTCTATAACTCCAAAAATAAAAAATCTACCGTAATTTTTTCCTTATTTTTCTTCTTGTATGAGAAGATAGTAAATAAGTTTAGTTTGAAGATAATTATCTAAGTTTAAATGTTTGAATTGTTGTTTAAAAGACATTCAAGGAATTTTCAAAAAATGTTTGAAAATAAACAGCGTACAACTGTTTAAAACTTTGAATTGCTGAAAAAAAATTTAATAGATGGTTGATTAAAAATTGTTGTCAAAACTTGTTCTATAAATTGTAGAACAGTTTTTGTTATATTATAGAATGTTTTATTATGAGATTGAAAAATTGTTTGTTATAAAATTATTATTATTATTATTTCTGATTAAAAAAGTTGAGGAAAAGGCGGCTAAATCAAAACTTGAGGAAAAGGCGGCTAAAAATTTAAGTCTTAATTTATTTGAAATTGGTTCCATTGATTTGATCTTTATTTTAATTTACTAAATTTTTAGTTTGTAATGTTGTTTTTTTTGTGTTTTTTTTTTGTTTTTTTGTTTTTTTTTGTAAAAAGTGAAAAGACAGTTTTGATTATAATTATGAGTTTTTTATGTTTACTTCATTTAATACACTTTATATTTTAGAAAAATAAAGATAGTTTTGGTTAGCCTCTAAACTTTATCCTGTTTATTGAATAAATGTTTAACAGTAAGTATTGTATTTCTGAATAAATATTTTATAGCAGTGTTTGCAAACAATTTTTTTCAGTTTAACCATAAATATTAAGCTCGATACCATTAAAATGTGTTCAAATTTTAATTTTTTAAATTTTGACAATACAAATTTGTATCCAATTAATTGAAATGTTCAAATAATGATGTAATTGCTGGAAAATGCAATTATAATTAATGCTGAGATAAATACACAGAAAAATATTTTCATATAATTACCAGTGATGGAGTGAAACATTTGTATTAGAGTATTCATTATTATAATTTTTCTTCTTTTAATCTGATTTTAAGTTTTAAAGGGTTGTGCTACTGTTTTATATTACTTTAACAGAATCAATTTTATTGCTAAGTTTATATTTTTTAATAATAAGAAGGAGTAATACAGGCTTGATCGGGAAGCGGGTGCGATCGCACTCTATAACTGACCACAGAAATAATATTTAGTTGCGAAAAGCCGGCCAGAGAGAACGTTTTGAGAACATTTAAATTAATGTATGCTTCCTTGTTTGTCCGCAAAATAATCAATACAGGGATTCCCACTTCATTTCGGCAACGTATCATTCAATTTCGACATTGTATCAGTACATTTCGACAATGTTTCATTCAATTTCGACACTGTTGCATTTGATTTCGACTGTTTTGCATTCAATTTAAATTAATACTTAAATTAATATACAAATAAAACAGTTAGATTCTTTCTAAATTCATTAAGATAATATAATTTTTTAGTTTGGATACAAACTAAAATCTAAACAAAAAAATTATCGTATATAAAGTATTGTAATTCCAAATACTTGCTAATAAAAATAAAAATTACAAAAGTAAGTTTATTCTTCAACAACTGGTTCTCTTCTTGAACACGGAATCATATACCTCAGTATGTGCGCAAAATAATTATTACAGTTTGTGCTAGTAATATTCAATTCACCGTTTTGTATATTCTCAAGCAGTTCCTCCTCAGTCCTAGACGAACATCTTCTGATAAACTGTTTCCATTCAGAAAACAATAGGGTTTTAAAATGGGAGAATATGGAGGTAAAAAAATCAAAGAATGCCCAGCACGTACTATTTCGTTATGAACAACAGCAGTTTTATGAAAACGAACATTGCCTAAAATTAAGATAGCTCCAACAACTTCATTAACAGCTAATTGTGCTGGTACTAAACGAATAAAATCTAAAAAGGTTTTTGTATTAAATGCTCTTGATTGTGCTTCATATTTCGAAATTCCGTTTTTGTTCATATCACAACAGACAGGATTATTTCTTAACCGTATATCGGTTACTGTTTGTGTGACCCTCTTTCCAGCAAAAGAACGTCCTCTTCTAACTCGCATTGAAAGACTAGATCCTACTTCATCAATAAAGAATATTTTATTGTCATTCATAGAAGACAAAATGTTCATGAATCTTTCTGCATAAGAAGCTTTAATAACGTCTTCCGAATTTCTTCTCTCTGGAATATTGTGAACACGTTTCAAAGTATAATTAAAACTATCAATGCATCTTGCTATAGTAGATTGACTGACTGAAATGGATTTTTGTTCAAAAAGTTTTTTTTTAATTTTCTTAAGAGTTATTCCACAATTATCATCAATTCAATTTTTGATTAGTACCTTGGATTCTTCTGTTAATTTTTTGTTTCAATTTTTGATTAGCACCTTGGATTCTTCTGTTATTTTTTTGTTTCAATTTTTGATTAGTACCTTGGATTCTTCTGTTAATTTTTTGTTTCTAGAACCACCTTTTAATTGCCGTTCTATCGGCAAACCATTTTTATATTTTTTAATAATCGAATAGATTGTAGTTCGTTTAAATCCACGAATATTTGCAATTTCTGATAGTGAGTTTCCATTTAAGTAAGATTCAATCAACAATGAAAATCCTTGAACGGTTTTCATTGTTGATTGTTTGATTCGGCACTGCTGTTTATAAATATTGAAAATGATATTTAAGCTTTTATTATGAACTCTTGTTGTATTGAAGAGTCAAATGCTTTTATTTACTTAATAAAAAATTATAATATTAATTTATTTTTTGATGACAATTTAATTATGTATTGTTGGGATATTTTCCAAAGCTTAGATTTTTTTTTTTTTTTGGTAATTAGACATAATTTATCCGGTCAATAAAAATAATGAATATAGCAATTAAAAACAACTATTATGGTAACTTGAAATAATTAACATCCACATTGTTTATTTTACCTATATATTTTACGTATATCCAAAAAAATATTGAAACCATATTCATGATGCCAGTACCCACTTTAAATAATGCAGAATTAAAAAAATAGCCACATTAATTATTTTCTTGTCCCGATTGAATTCAACCCATTATTATTTAACAAAAATTTTTATCATAAATATAAATACTTTAATTCAAAATAGAGTGTTTTTAAATTGTCGAAATGTGATGAAACAGTGTCGAAATTGAATGCAAAAGTGTCGAAATGTAGTGATACAATGTCGAAATTGAATGCAAAAGTGTTGAAATGTAGTGAGTGATACATTGTCGAAATGAGGTGAGAAACCCTGTATTTTATCGTAAATTTAAAAATATTTTGTTTTACGGACATACATGGAAACATACATAAACTTGATGGTCTGTGCGGAAAAATAAAAAAAGAATGTTCGCGAACACAAAAATCCCGCCAAATCTACAAACAACTAATTCTATTGGTTCAAAAAATACTAACCGAAATTTCTAGAGTATTCAAAAAATAGCTTAAATTGTTTTAAGAATATACTATCAATAAAACTATTTTTTTAATTCTATGGCTCATTTTCGGAGCCACATCTACAAAGCTATAAATGTTTTAAACTAACATTTGTTTACAAAAATAAATATTTTAAGTTTATATTTTTTAACTTGTCAAAGTTTTGTAAATTTATAATAGATTTTATTAGTATATTCTTTTTTTTTTATATATAAGGGATGTATTTGTTATGTATGTAATGTATTTTTATCAGTGCCGGATCACGGAAGGGGGGGGGGCTGGTCGGACTATAGCCCCGGGCCCCGCAAATTTAGGGGCCCCTAAAAATTTTAGAGGACATTTATTTATTTTTTTAAGTCTTTTTTAGGCTTTGGCCCATAAAAAGGCCTCCGAAAACTAAAATAGTCCCGGGCCCCAAGAAGTTATAATCCGCCACTGATTTTTATGTATGTAATGTATTTTTATGTATGTAATGTATTTTTATGTATGTAATGTATTTTTATGTATGTAATTTTATTTATGTATATTTTATTCAAATGTAATCTTTTAAAGCAATATGTGCGATTGATTTTGTAAACAAAAATGCTTTCAATAATAACAGCGTTTTCAATCAAATTATTAATAATCATCAAAGTTAATACAAAAAAAGGCGGACGTTTATTTCAGGCACCCCCCTTTAGTAAGTCCGTAAAAAAGACTTACACGAAACGAGTATTGTTGAAAACCATACCCTAACCAAACCCTAACCCTGAAAGTTATGGTTAGGGTCCGGGTTTGGTATAGGGTTTGGTTTGGGTATGGCTTTCAATTTTTTCTTCAAACATTTATTAAAAATTTTTAATTTTTAATAAATGTTATGCGTAAAACATTACTCGTTTTTTACGGACTTACTAAAGGGGGGTGCCTGAAATACACGTCCGCCCAAAAAAACTTTAACCGCTAATTTATTTCCCTTAGTGTACTCGATAACTGGTTCTTTCCCCCCAAAAAGAAAAGGTTTTAAGTTCTTAGAAATTGGTTTACTAACTTATTTATACTAAATTATTTTTGCTTCAACCATTCTTACAAACTCGTTATATTTAAACTTAAAGTTACTTTTTCTGTTTTAGATACTAATTAAAATTATAAAGCCCACTCGCTAAACATTTCAGCGGTATTGTGAAGCAGTTTCGCTTCCTCCCCTGGAAGTAATTTAACGTTTCTATCTAAAGCCCGTTCTCCATTCAGAACTTTTTGCGCTTTGGAGAAGCGGAAAAGTTCTTTGAGCATGCGCAAACAGTTTTTTAAAACCCGTTCTCCTATCAGAACTTTTTGCGCATGCTCAAAGAACTTTTCCGCTCCTCTAAAGCGCAAAAAGTTCTGAATGGAGAACGGGCTTAATTCACGGTCGTTCAAACTTTACTAAAAAGCGCCAGGTTATTATACGCAGGCGCATTGGCATATTTGATATTTGAAGAATTTTCAAAATGGCTTCGAAACAGAATTAACCTTTCTTAGCAACAATTTTATTTGCATTATTTGTTTTTATTTTTTGAATTTATAAATGATTTTTGTGCTAAATAATACTAGAGACACCCTATTTTTTATAAAAATAACTAAAGTTAATATGTATATGAATAATTTTAACTAATAAAATTGAGTTACTTTTGAAGTTATTTTGCTGTGGTTTGTTTATAGTTTTCAAAATTATTTTTCTAAATATTTGAGCGTTAAACTTTTTCAGTATTTTCAAAAAAAGTTTTATAAATCTTATATGTTTTCATTTCTTTTAATTAATCTCAGGACACAATTTTTTTTCTTGTTCAAAATTCACATTTTCTCAAGTAAAGTTATCAAATACAAATTTTTACAAGGTCACAATCTTATAATTTATGATTATTTAAAAAAAAAGAAAATTCTTTATTTATTTGAATTTACTTTTTTTTAAAGATTTTTTGGAAAATGTGTATTTAGGACATCCACCTCAAAGTCAGTAAAAAATGAGTTTTATGCAAAACCATACCTTAATGCTAAACCATAAACATAACCCAAAAGATTACGACTAAGATTTTTTTTTAATTTATTTAAGGTATTATTTTCAATAATACTTATTTTTGTTCGACTTAATTTACAGTGGTTCTTATATAGTATTTATTGTATTAGCACTAAAAGCATTTATTATATTTGCTCTTGAAAATTTTATTACAATTTTATTTATTTTTTAAATTAAATTCATAAAGCTGAGTTATGATTTGAATATAGTATTTTAGTAGTTAATAGTTATAAATAATAGTTTTGATTTCAATTTCATTCTTTACTTAAAAGTTATTAATTACTTTCTTTCTTTAGATGGATTTGCATATCACAAATTTAAATCTTCTTTGCAGAGTTTGTGGTTGTTTTATTGGGAAAAAAAACTACTCAATTGGAGCCATCCAAAAAGATAAAATTGAAAAGATGTTTCACGTCAAATTAACAGATTTAGAAGGAGTTCATCCTTCAAAAATTTGTCCTAAATGTTACAAAACAATTAACATAGTAATAAAAAGAATGTCATCAACTACTCTGCTTTTATGTACAAAGTGGACACCTCATTGTGATAACTGCTATACTTGTCATCATGTGAAAAAACTGAGTCAGGGTGCTATTTTTTCAAATTTCCAAATAAGGAGTAAAACAAAGTTTATTGGCCATCCTAAAATTGGCGAAAAGGTTTGGAGTTTTTCTATCTTGAGTACTTTAAAGGAAAGTATTTTGACATTACACAATTTGTAAATAGACAATAATGATTTGGTAAATGAATTTAATCCTTACTTACAGCTATGCATATGTTGTTTATGTGGTAAAATACCAAAACAACCGGTATGTTTGAAAAAATGTGGACATTTGTTTTGTTTTTTCTGTTTAGAGGAGATTATTAAAATTAGGTTCTTTAATGAAACTTCATGCCCAAAATGTAACGAACCTTTAATACCCGAAGACTTAGTTGCCAAACTCCCTTATAAAAATGTTAAGTGTTGAATGTATTCTATGTAAAGCAAAGTTCAATGTAATAAAAGAATATGATGTATATATACATCATAAGCTTATATGCAATGGAAAATCTGTAACAAAATCATTATTTTTTTCCTCACCATTATCTTTACCAAGTTTGTCACCATCATTGTATACTTTTAACAATAGCATTTCTGAGATTTTCAATCTAACAGCTAATAGTAAGAGTTGTTGAAGATGCTGCACTCCATGTTCTTAAACAAAAGATGGAAAAAAGTGGAGGAAAACCAATTTCATTTAAAAGTGAAGGACCTAGAGTAAAATTTGTTTAGTTTTGTTAAATCGATTTAAAAAAATTAATAACTGTATTCTTCATAGATTCCTTTTTTTTTTCAGCCAGTTTTATTTTCATCTATTTCATGTGCATTACAATCTTAGAGAGGGATCTTAGCTGTTGCAGCAATAAATTCTGTGAACACATATTTTGAGTTTTAAAAGATAATTTCAACATAACGTACAATGTTACCAACACTATAAACATACATAAATAAGCGAATCGAAGAGAATTTCTAAATTAAAAACTTAGTACCAGACATTAAATAATTTATCAGTGCTTTAGAACATTATGAGCTTGCATGCTTCTTTTATATTTTTTATTTTAATTCACCTCCTCAAGGCCGAGAAGGCCACTACAGACGAGGAGGCTACTTATTTGTGGTTATAACCCTCTCTCAACTCTATAAATCCAAAACACGAACCTTGACGAACAAGGCCGCTGCGCGGAGAAACGAGTTGAGCGCGGTACTACCAGGGACGTGGTGGGGATCGAACTCAGAACCACTCGTTTATGAAGCGAGCGCTCTACCACTACACCACTACCGCATTATAAGAGATTATTACATTTATATGAGATTTTATCACAGTTCTGCTTTCTGCGTAACTCGATCAGCTTTCATCGCACAAGATAATGACAGCAGCATCGAATGTTATGCTCTTTAATGACAACCTTAAGGTATGTCTCAGATATGAGCATGTGTATAGAAAGTTATTGGATTTTTTCTTTTTTAGGGAAATATCCTGGAAAAGTCCTGATATTTATATATATATATATATATATATATATATATATATATATATATATATATATAAATGTAATACGTGTATGCATGTAATACAAATTAAAATAACGACATGTTTGATAACATGCAATTTATTTTATAAGGTAGTATTATTATTTAATTATTTTTAATTACATATATCATACTATTAACAATGTCACTGTTTATATATATATATATATATTTATATATATATACAAACACATATGTATATACATAAATATATATATATATATAAACACATATATAAATACATATATATATATATATATATATATATATATATATATATATATATATATATATATATATACACACATATATATATATACATATATATATATACATATATATATATATATATATATATATATATATATATATATATATATACACATATATATATATATATATATATATATATATATATATATATATATATATATATATATATATATATATATATATATATATATATATATATATATATATATATATATATATATATATATATATATATATATATATATATGTACACATATATATATGTACACATATATATATAGTTATATGACGTTCATACCAAATGGAATGGTATACCATTTGGTATGAACTTCATACACCTACATAGGTATGTACCTCCTCTATACAAGATGAAAAAAAATTGTGTATAATAGCCATTTACATTCTGTAGAGTTTTTCACAGTCGTTTTTTTTGTTAAATAATTTTGTCTCATATTTGGTTGAGCAAGTTTTGTTGCTTTTATAGAACAATTGTGAAAAACAACCAAATAAATCTAATCCTTTCTTTTCCGAACATGAACTTTTCACTATACTTTTATTTATGTTTTAGCTTTATCACCTCAAGAAAGCAGGTAGAAAAAGTGTTAAAGAAAATACAAAAAATGTTATGGTCAGGTATGTATTTTTGTTTAACTCTGGATAATCAAACTGTTTAAATTGTGAGTAAATTTTATAGAAAAAAAAAGGAAAGTAATTTAGAAAAATAATTTTAATACTAATGTTTGAGGAGAACCTTAATGAATAAAACGCTTATTAAATGGGACAAAATCAAAATTGCATACAAGCATCTAAGGTTAGTTGGATATCCAAACTTCTGAGGTAAGAAATGTTAAACACAACAATTCAACAGACCAAATCACTATTCCGATCATGGTCTAAACATGATGGGCCAAACATAAAATTAGAAATGTTGTATTAATGGAATTAATAGCACATTTCTCCAACAAATCCAACAAATAGTCAGTTATAAATAAAATATACTTTGTCATCCCGTTTACAGTGTCCCATGTTGTATTTTAGAAGTCATCCAGCTAATGCACGAGTCTTCGTCAGAAGCACAAATAAAAGATCAAATAGGAAGCATTTTAAAGTTCTCTCCATTTGTTAATGGTAGCAAAAAAAATTGAAGAAGCAAATGATTGTTAAACAATTTTTTTGTTGTTGAGTTTTTTGTAAATTTATAATACAAAAGAATACATCTTTTAAAAAGCCTTCAAAAACATTTATTGTACTTTTAGTTTGAATATCCCCGAAACTATTTTTCTAACCCTTTGTAAGGGGTTAAAAACCTTATATTAACTTTGAATATTGATTGTAGTTGTGTTGAACATTTAATGTTAATATAACTTTACTGTTATATTCATATAATAACCATGACACAAATTCGCGTCTAAACGGCTTCGGTTCAGGGTTATATAATATAACTGTATATTAACATTACACAATTACAATCAATATTTTACGTTAATATGCGTAATGTTAATATACGTTACGTGAATATACAATTTTTTGAACTTATATTTACATAAGTATAACGTTAATCTAACTTTAGAATTTTACATTAATATAACGTTAATATACGTTACGTTAATATGCGTTACGTTAATATACGTTACGTAAGTATACGTTACGTTAATCATGTTAATATAACGCAAATCTAACGTAAGAATTTTAGGTTACAAAACCTTTTCATTTTGCCGTACTAACATAAAATCTAACATAAATATATCGTTAATACAACAAGTACTTGCTGGGAGAGGGTTGTAACCACAATTAAAGTAGCCTCCTCGACTAATTTTTTTTAAAAAAGAAAAATCAATTCTCGTAAAAGCAATACTTTTCTTTGAAATTTTAAAAAACTAAGTATGGAAGAATTCAAGAATGATTACTTGAAAATATATTGAGATAAATTAACCAAAGTTTCTAACTAATAAATCATATGAAGAATCTTTCAATAGCTTTAACTCTCTTCTAAACAAACAAGCACCATTAAGGTGGTACACCCACATAAATTTTAAAATTTTTGTTAGAAAAATCAATTTTTCAAATATTGATACTTTTAGTTTAAAGAATATATTTATGATTTTTTATTTTTATTCAAATAAATAAATAAGTATGTAAAAACGTGTGTACTTTGGCCATAATATGATTTTGAGGTCTTTAGCAACGCCATTGCAACGTATTTTTAAACAAGGAGATATCAAATTGTTCAATATCTTATTAATATTTCAGCTTCTTCTTTATTATGTGCTTTATGTTTAGCGAAGGTTTTTAATGGGCTCATGCTTCTTCTTTTAACGGGCTCTGCTTTTTTTATTGTTTGACCTAGGTAATGAACCAGAATACCTTTTAATATCTTTTTTCTTGTCTTTTTTGTTAAAAAAATTTTATGAATCTATTAAAAATTACTTTTAAAATGTTCTATGCATCTTCAATGCATAAGACTGGTTCGATATCTTGTTTTAAATCAAACTAGTGTTGTTATCGACTTCGACTAAATCGACTAAAAGTTGACTAGTCGAATGTCGAAATTAGTCTACTATGAAAAAATCTAATAATTGATTTAATCGACTTTAGATTTTCTATTAATCGACTAAAGGTCGATTTAGTCGGGTCCTAAAATTCTTGTCTTTACCTCTTGTTTGATTTAATTTTGTCAATATTTAACTTTATTATGATGCTGACCAATAAGTAAAGATATATAAAATAATTTATTATTCTTTATTGTTAATTCTTATTCTTTTTTTTTAAATTGGCTTCTGATATAAACAATTTTTGATATAAACAAAATTTGGCTTCTGATATAAACAGCATTCCGACCTTTATTCTAAAACTTGCTAATGATATTTCGTCAATTATTTCTAAACTATTTTACCTTTCATTAGCAACTGGTTCCCTAATATTTAAAATATATTATGAATTGGTTTAATAGATACAGTTTTATAAAATATTTATAAAACTGTATCTATTAAACAAATTTATAAAAAGGACTCAAAACCTGACTGCAATAACTATAGACCAATATCATTGTCAAATATCAGCAAAATTCCTAAAAAAATTAATGTATTCTCATAATCATTGGTATTTCTCAAAATACCAATAAAACTGAATTTACTATTTTAATATCTTTTTTTATTAAAAAATTTGATAATTTTAATGTGAAAATTAAAGGTAAAAGACTTTTCCCATCTAAATATATAAAATATCTCTGGGTATTTCTTAACGAAAACCTATCATGGTAAAAAACTCTAACGTGCCAATAGTATGTTGTCATTAATACGACGCTATGTTATATACATCTTTATATTTATTGTTATAGTTTTGGTCATATTTAATGTTATTATTTTTATTTATATTATTATTATTGTGTAAAAATACTTTATAAAATTAAATACCATAAATAAAATATATATATATATATATATATATATATATATATATATATATATATATATATATATATATATATATATATATATATATAATATATAAACATTTTTATAAATAGTTAAACAATATAAAAAAATGTCACGGTTAGTGATTATTACACTTAGTTATTATAAATCATTTTGTTTTAACTACAGTTATGTATAAAAGGCATACTTTTCAAACTGTTTAAAAAAGATTACAAAAATTACCAGCTCAATTATATCTTGAATTTCTGTGGTGATTTCAGAAGTTGCAATAGATAGATATAGCACAAAGAATTCCAAACTTATTAAAAACGATATTTTGACTATAATTTGAACTTAAAGCATGGTTTAACTTTAATGAGAATATCAGTTATACGGTTGTCTATTTTATCGGGAGGCTAAGTAAGTGCGAATTTTATGTGTTAACTGGCAAGAGTGCGAATAGGCGTAAGTACGCCAAAGGAATTTACAAACATTGTCATAAGTGCAAACTGGCATAAGTGCAAACCAGTTGCAAAAAATGGCATAAGTGTGAACTAACATAAATGTGAATTGGCCAAAAGAATTTGCAAACATTGGCATAACTACTAACTAGCATAAGTGCAAAGCAGTTGCAAAAACGGGCATAACCGTGAACTGGTATAAATGGAAATCGGCGAAGGTGCGCCAAAATAATTGACAAACATTGGCATAATTCCAAACTGGCGTAAATGCAAGTTAACGTAAATGCGGTGAAAAAATTTGCAATAACTCGCATGTGTGCAAACTGAATTATGTGCGAATTGCCATAAGTACGGAACAGTTGCAAAAATTGGCATAAGCGCAAATCCTATGTTTTAAAAATTCTTTTGGCGCATTTATGCCAGTTCACACATAAGCCAACTTATCAAACTTATGCCAGTTCACAATTAAGTCAGTTTTTGCTACTGTTTCTCACATGTGCTAGTTTGCACTTACGCCAATTTGCACTTATGCCAATACTTATAAATTCTTTAGGCGCACTTATGGCGGTCTTGGCAACTGATTCGCACTTATGTCAATTCGAATGTTTGAAACTTCTTTTAGCTCACATATGCTAGTTCACACTTATACCAAGTTGCACTTATGCCAGTTTTTGCAACTGCTTTTCACTTATGCCAGTTTACACTCATTCAAGTTCGTACTTACGTCAGTTTGCACTTATGACGTTCGTACTTTCAGCGCCTCCTTTTTTATTGATGCACGTTCCAAAACAAATTTCAAGTAAATAGTTAAAACACAGCAAGCAAATAAAAACTTTTATTGCTCTGAGAATGAAACTCTTCTTAGCGAAAGACTGCTTGACGCGGATTAATCATCACCGGTATCTAATAGCACCGGTGATGATTTATCTCCACTTCGTAAGAAGAAGAAGTGCAGATAAAACAATTAAACGAGTCTCTAAAGAAAATATGCACACATGTGAAGATGTGGAAAAAATAAGTTAAATTGCAAATGAAACTAGATTTTAAATGAAACTGTTCGTTTAAATTAGACAGCAAACCCTTACAGGTTGTGGTCAGAAAACAAAAAGCAATATCCTAATAGAACTTGGTAAATTTTTCTTATTATTTGCTGATGGCAGTACTCTTTTTTTTTTAAGGTATTCGGTATTTGGCCAAACTTTTGCAAACATTTCGGCCGAATACCGAATATTCACCGAATATTCACGACATCTCAAATAAAAATGATAACAAAAAAATATTAATATTAGTAACCTAGTACTGAAATCATTTTACTACTGCAAAAAAATTAAAAATTTGTTAACCCTTTAAAAAAAAAGAGAAGGGAAATTTTAAGAGACGGGTGCTTCTATTTTCAAGATCTATTTGTAATTTCTTGTGCTCCGATTACACGTGAGCTGTATATATTGTTTATAAACAATATATTATATTATGGTTAATTAATTATTTAACCATAAAATATGAAATTAAGAATTATATTTAAGTTTGCATAAATTAGTTAATACTATAGAATTAAAAGAATTAATGAAGAATTAAAAAACATTGCATTAAATGTTTAAAATATAACGTTAAAATCTATAAAGAAAATTACAAGAAGATAATGAAAATCAAAAAGAATGCTGAAGCAGATAGGGACTCAAAGAAGATAAAAAATAACATCACGTCATTGCAATTTTTTCATAGAGCTCCTTTATATAAAGGTTGTCGGTAAAATGCGAACTGCGAACCGCGAACTGCGAACCGGTAAAATGCGAACTTTTTTGCAAACCAAAACATTATATTTTAGAGACCATTATTGTTATGATAAAAATAATAATAAAAAAACTCTCCAATTCTTAATTATCTATTTTAAGGCTTTATTTAAAGTAAATTTTTTATTTTTTAACTGTAAAACATGCGTAGAGCGTTGCTACATCGACTATCTTATAGCCTGACTCGCAACGGAGTGCTGCTAAATCGACTGAGGGTTTGGTTTGGGCGGGCAGTCTATCAAATAATTTAAAAAAATATATATTATATTGTATTTTTTTAAGTTTCACTTAATTTCCTTTTATTTATTTTTAATTAATTTTTTCGCTTAAAAGTCCTTAAAATATACCGTTAAATGAATTATTTAACGGAAATAAAACATTACATCATTAACAACCAATAGGACAATGGTTCGCAAAAAAGTTCGCATTTTACCGGTTCGCAGTTCGCGGTTCGCAGTTCGCATTTTACCTAGTACCTTATATAAACACTTAATTAATAGATCGTATGGTATAATAGTCATAGTGAGAGATATACAAATTAAAAAGTAATAACAACAATTAAAAAATTACCGTTAAAATCCATTCCAGTACGAATCTTTTATAACCACTTCACGTGATACAATCTTTTTTAACTCTATTATAACCACTTCTTTACGTGATACAACCTATTTATTTCTTGTATATCTAACCTTACCACCGAGGTAATTTACATAATTAAGTTGAACAACAGTCCAGGCGCAGATTCAGCATTTTTTGATGTTTGAGATACCTAACTTTCAGACATGGAACAGACTCCAAAAATTTATATGTTTATACTTATGTCAAATAAGGATGCTTTGCAAAAAGTTGCAATAATTGGAGCCTGAGAACAAAAAAACCCTCAAATTTTAGTTACACCTGCCCTAAATGTGAGAGCAAAAAATTGATGAAATATTTTGTTACTATTCTCAACCAAGTTTATATTCATTAAACTCATACAATAATCTTTTAGCGTTCAACAATTATGGCATTATAAAATTTGCAACCCCCTCAAATTGAGGGTTCAAACTTTTTATGGTCATAATTTTTGAACGCTAAAAGATTATTGTGTGAATTTTAAAATTTATCAACGAATATAGATTTTATTAAGAATAGTATAAAAAATATTTTATCAACTTGTTGCTCTCAAGTTTGGGGCAGGTGTAGCAAAAATTTCAGGGTTTTTTTGTTACCAGGCTCCAATCATTGCAATTTTTCACAAACCATCCTTATTTGATGCAAGTATAAACAGATAAATTTTTGGAGTTTACTCCATGTCTGAAGTTAGGTATTTCAAACATCAAAAAATGCAATATTCGCGTCTGCAGCCTGTAGCAAAACAATTTTTAATTCCAAAAAAAGTTTAATATTAAATGACGTAAATATTACTACATACTTCTTTACTGAAATAAAATTACATCATTTGGCACGTCTTCATAATGATTTTCTTATAAGAATCTTAATTATCAATAATTTTTTAACGATTTCTTCTTATTCTTCACAATTTATCACAACTTTCAATATGACTGCCAAAGCGACTATTTTTGTTTGACGTCAGAGCGACGTAATCAATTGCAATAATTGAGCTTTTTTGTAACATTTTAAAAAGCATATCAAAGTAGCATTTTGTTTGGGAAAATCAAAATGTCAAGGTTTATGTCACCAGTAATATATAGAGTTTTATTTATTTGTTTATATTAATTTTTATAACAATTCTTTTGATAAAAATTTTCGAATGGTTTATTTTTTCCACTTTTACCTTTAAAAATTATGTTTCTGCAAATATTCTTAATAGTTTCAAATCGAAACTATTACGAATAAATGTTAACTTTAAAATTCTTTTCATCGAAACTTTCGATGAAAAGAATTTTAAAGTTAACATTTGATAAACATAGTAAGTTTTTTTATTTTATAAGCATATTTATCTAAACCATTGAATTTAAATTAAGACAACTTTCTGAATCATGCCAAGTTTCTGAAAGAGGTATGACGTCGAACGCGTAATAAAATTTATTCAATTTTTTAATATTTTGCTGCATGCTTCTAATATTTGCAAGTAAAACAGAAGTCAAAAGAACTAAAATATGGTGTTTTAATTAAGTTCATTTGAGATTTAAAATATTAAAATTTTCTTTAGATAAGTTATCAATAATATCATCCTGAAAAGGGTCAAAGTTTATATTTTCAAAATCCCAAATGAATACTCTGTCATTCCAATTTTGAAAAACAGAGAAATATGATTATAGTTATAATTTTAAATTCAATCTGATCCAGATTTTGGTTTTTGAACGTCACCAGGATTTTTTGAATTAAATACATATACAACGAGCTTATTGTAAACCATTGTAAACCAAGTAGCCAGCTTTAGCAAAGTAGAATTAGCAAAGGTTAAATGATTCTACTTTTTGATTGAAGCCCTCATTAATATAGATGTTGCTACTTTTGAGGTGGAAAACTTTATCCATGATTTTTTATCCTGAGTCACAATCTGAGTACAATTGTTCTCGCTCGCCGTTCTCGTTCGCTCTCGCTCGCCATTAGCAAACTTTATATTTTACCGCCCCAAAAAATATTATCTAAGCCCCGACAATAAAAAGAAAAAAATAATTTTTATTTTGACGATAAAAAGAAAAAACTGTTGCTTAACTAAAATCAAATTACAGTATATCTAAAATTGTAAATCTTTCCTATTTGATTTTAAATTGGCAAAATCTCTAATCATCTCTTTGATTGCCATAGTTTTGGCTGTTTTTGCTTCCGTTCCTAATATAGAAATATTATGCGAACATTCTTTGTCTGTAGAATTGCATAAATAATTTTTTTCTGTATTTAATTTTGAAAACGATCTTTCTGCCATAGCTAAAATGACAGGTAGCGTCATGAACAACACCAGTGCGGCGATGACGTCTGCAAAACATACAGATTCTAACTTACAGATTAGATATGTAGCATATTTAATCACTAATTCTGCTCTGCGAATTCTTTTATGCTTGTAGTTTTAAAAATTTCTTAAGCTTTCAGATACCATTACATTTTGTAGTGGAAATTCTGTTGTAAGGCCATCTTAGCAATTGTAGCTAAATCTTGTTGTGACTGAGTCTGATTTCTATGAAATGAATCGACTATAGAATTTGCCTTCTTTTTGGCAATAAATTTTGATTTTGCATGATTTTCCGGGTTTTTTGATTTTGAAATTTTGCATGCTTTTGAAATTATTTAATATAAGAATTATGGGTTTGAAATTATTTATTTTAAGAACGATGGGTTTTTTATATAAAATTATTTAATATGAGAACGATGGGTTTTTTTATGTAAAATTTCAAAAATAAATTGATATTCATATTCTTTACTCAAAAAACTAATCAGATGTAAACAAAACACAAATAAAATCAGATGTAAACAAATCACAAATAAAAAACTAATTATGTAAGCATCATTATATATTTAAAAAAATACATTAGAACTGATTAATAAGTTTTTGAGAAAACATAACTTATAATGGTCCGAATTTCAACCGATCATGGTTATACATAATTTATGATTTAAACGGTGCCAAAATTAAAAAGATAACTAATACACATAATTTTCCCAATAAAACAAACAGTTACCCAGACAAAACTATGTTATAAACATCAGACTCACAAACGCAACCAAAAAAAGTTTACAAATGCGCAAATAAAATAAAATGAGTATGTTATGAGTATTAATAAAAACTTGCCAAAATAACATCTATCGCCAAAGTACCAACTTAAAAAAAAAATCAGGCTTTTTTTCAGGTAAAAGCAACATGGGCGTAATTATATTTCTTAGAGAAGACTGGAATCTGGCTTAAGACAAAAAAATTTAATCGCGATAATCTTTGATTTTGCCTAAGCCTTTGACGTAGTTGATCATGAGATTCTTCTTACTAAATTGATTGTGTTCAATGTACCTTCCCAAAGAGTTAATTACCCGGATTTCATCATACCTGCAAAATAGACATTAAGAAGTTAAATTAACAGCCGGAGCGCAGTGGTTAGAGTGCTAGTTCAAAACCAAGAGGTCTGGGGTTCGTCGGCGGCTCTAGCCCAGAAGCAAAATTGGTAAGGAAGAAGGCGTGAACTTCTTAGCTAAATGCTCTTCAATGGTACTCTATGATAAGACTGTTAAGACTTCTGGGAGCATCTTAATAACCACAAAAAAATGTTAATATGGTAAGAACAAGCTCACGTTCAGCTTCAACTATTTAGTGAGCTTGGTTTATGACAATGTATTCAAGAATGTAGTCTGCAAATTTATAGAGAATTTAATTCAGAATTAAACTTTATAAATTTATAAAGTTAAACTTTTATAAATTTCTAAAGAGAGTTCTAAATATAATCCACTGCTATCCTATTATTTATTATATGCCATAACTCCAAAATGTCATAAAATAAATTCATTAATAAATTATATTTGACCAAATAATGAGTCAATAGAAATTATATTTGACCAAATAATGAGTCCTTACCGAAAGCAGAACTTGACACTGATAATATTAGATATTTGCATTTTACTATGTCTAAATTTCTAAATAAATTAATTTATTTTCTTATCAGAAAATTGAAATTTAGCAAAACTCATAATTCTTTAACTAGTTGTGTAAAAACAACAAAATGTTAATTATAATTGATATTCTTTTTTTATTTTTTATTTTTTATTTTTACAGAACTTAAATTTCCAAGGGTTCATCTAAACAATCTAACGCAGCTCATTAGCTGATAGCATTAGCATAAGGTCTTTACGCATGGTTAAGTATTGTGCAATGCATATATACCGAATAGAGAAACGAAAAAAGTTGTTAAAGAAAAAGAAATATTTTTATGTGAAAGACCTTAAAAATGGATTTAAAATCTTTTGAAGCTTTTAAAGGTAATTCAATAATGAAGGCATCGTCATCATTTCAAAACCGCAGTGGTGTTAGTTCTCAAGGATTTTCATCTAGTAAACCAAACATATATAATTTTGATGCTCTTTGGAAAGGTTCAGTTAGCAACCTTATGTCTTCTGAAAATATTACTGAAGATCTTATTAAAGAGAGTATAAAAGAATTAGAAAATGCAATGCAAGAATCAAGAAAAATGCTAATTGATCGAGACGACGAAATAGCTAAATTGCGTTTGTATATAAAAAATAATGATATAAATGAAGATGATAATTACGGAAAGTTAGCTGACGAATTAAAAAAGTCTCAAGAAACTGTTGCGTTGTTAGAGTGTCAAATAAAAGAGCTAGAACAAAAGAACAAAATAAAAGAGCTAGAACAAAAGAACAAAACTTCAATCACCAATACAAAAACGTCTATTACACAGGAACAAAAACTTCAAAACTTTAAAAATAACATTTTTGAATGTACATGTGGATGTGGTTTGGAATGTAAAGCATTAATTGATTTATTAGAAGCTAAGCAAACTTTACAAAAAACAAAAGATAAGTATGATATTTTAAAACGCAAGGTTAGAGAATTTCGAAAACAAGCTGAAATCAATCACAAAAATGCTTTACGTTTATCGGCCCCTCCAGAGGAAAAGACTGGTTGTTATATCCAATAATAATTTAGAGAAAAATTTTTTTAGCAA